CCCTGTTATCAATGAACAGGAATCCTCTATACTGAGTGTTCCTGTCCATTCATAACATGAGGACATTGAGTATGATTACTATAACCACAATCATGAATGAACAGGAAGTGATGTAGATTACTTCCCATTCATTCATAATTGAGGATATAGTAACCATACTCTGTCCTCAATTATCTATACTCAGCGATCACTTATCAGTGACTGCTTGTACCCCGCTCTGCCCTCTGACACACAAAAAAAACCCCTTTCAAACCGGTTTGAAAAAAAGGGGTCAAAATCATGTTTTGGGGGGGGCCTTAATGGTTTCTTGCACCGGGGCCCTGAGGTTTCTAGTTACGCCTCTGGCTACAACACTTGCCTTCTACTGTCTACATTACCACTCAGTTCCTCATAGAATGTTAATAGGGAACTTCAGTTCATCCGGCCAATAAAAGTGAGTTTTACATACCCTGGCTAACTTGATTAGTTCATGGGAACCTATGATGGTTCAGACAGGCATGCAATTCTGTTTACACTGGCACCGGCTGGCATTGACTGTAAATGACAGCTCACTAGGCTGGCAGTTACAAAGCCTGGCCCACCCACCTCCCTGACATTACTGAAAGCCCTCTGGTGGCTGCGGAGGCTGGAGTGCTGTGTGGAAGAAGCCCATCTGGATCTACGGCGGTACTCTGTGTTCCTGAAGGTTTGGGGCTGATCTGAGGTCTGAAGGTGCAGGAATTGTGGCTGATCTGAGGTGTGAAGTGCATGCAGTAAGATGTATCTGCAGGGCCGGTGCTGCCACTAGGCAAACTAGGCAGCCACCTAGGGTGCACGGCTGCCTAGGGTGCAGCCTCGACCACTCATTCCCCCCCCGTCTATTTCAAATTACAAAAGCCAATAGCAGGCTGGCTAATGCACTCAGCCACTGAGCAGAGGAGCAGAACTGAGAGATAATTTTCTCTCTCAGGTCCGCTCCTGTGCTCAGTGGGTGGGGTTTCAATAGCCAGACTGCTATTGGCTATTTAAAATTAAAATAGCCAATAGCAGTCTGGCTATTGCTCCTGGCTACCCGGCATGAGAATGGAGCCGCGCAGGGGGGTTTTGCCTAGGGTGCTAAATAGTCTAGCACCGGCCCTGCGTATCTGAGGTGTGAAGTGCATGCATTGGGGCTGATCTGAGGTCTGGTGCGCATGCAGTGAGACTGATCTAAGGTCCGAAGTGCATGCATTGGGGCTAACCAGAGGACTCATGTGCATGCATTGGAGCTGATCTGAGGTCTGAAGTGCCTTCTACCCAGCACTGCTACCCACATAAGCTCTGCTCCATCTACCATCTACCTACAACCATCCGATTCAGGTTAAATGACCCCCAGAGTCTTTGTACCTCTTCCTGTGAGCACAGACTGTCAATATCGCATCCCCTAGGGGGTACAGTAATGGAGATGGGCTGGCATGAAGTAAACAAATAATATACTGAGATTCTTTACAATTTTGGATAAAAACTTTTAAAAAATGGATACAAAATTAAATTAAAAAAGGAATATTTTAACCGCTAGCAACGTTTAATGTTTACACCACCCAAACTTTTTTTTTAAATATCCCTCCACTCAACTTATTAATTCAAGGGTTTCATTATTACAAACATTTGTTGCAAACCAACCAACCACCACACCTAAGTTGGCCGAAAATATAAAAACATAACACAACCTTAGTGTCGGCCTCCACCACCAGGACAATGTCCTCGATCCGAATACCGAAATATCCATCGTGGTAGTAGCCTGGCTCTAGAGAGGGGATCATAGAGAATAAAAGAGGGTCAAGTCGTGTCTTCAAGATTTTTCTGTACATAGCCATTCTAACTAGACACGTGCGATTCATTCCGAATCAGAATTCGAACAAATTTTCTGAAATTGGGACATTTGAACGTCCGAATTTCCAAATCCCACATGATTGGCCAGAAAAGTCACATGCCGTAACAAAAATGAGTGTTCAGTATATACATACAGTATAACACTAAAGCTGAGGCTCCTAGAGCTGGATGGAATTCGGGATCCGAATTTCCAAATGCAATTCCGAAATTCGGAACCTAAATGCCATTCGAGTATGGGAGCCATATACATATATTACTAAAGCTGAGGCTCCTAGACCTGAATGGCATTCGGGAGTAGACATGTGCGATTCGTCTAGTTCCGAATCGAAATTTGGACGAAATTTAGGAAATTCAGAGATTCGGATGTATCCGGATTCCGAATGACAGATATAACGAATGCAAACGAATTTGAATTTCCAAAAACCGAAATTTGTTAGCGGTAGTCTGTACACAGAAACACCTAATCAATACACCGGCTGGTGATTGAAAACCCTTTTCCCACACCTGATTGTTGTATTGCACAATTATTACCCAGTTATTGACTACCGAGATTTATAATTTTTTCACTGTAGAATCTGAACTTAGTAACTTCTTCACGTCCTATAGAGTGCACATATTTTATTTATTTGTCGAGACTGAGCGCAACTCACTTGCGATATAATAAGTTCACCCACACACATAGTTGCGGCTGGTCGAACTAATTATTTAGTTATTTAGTTTTCACACCTAGCGCAGTGATTCTTGAATTACTGGTAGTCTGTACGAAATTTGTTTGTTGGACGAAATTTCGTTGCAGCAAAGTGACATTTGAGAATTTTTTTTTCTACACCTTAAATATCACTTTGCTGCAACGAACGAATGAACCGAAAACAAAATGACAATTCGTACAGAATACAGCTAACGAATTTAGTCCGAATCCGAATCCCGAAACGAATTGACTTTCGGACCCGGATCCCGAAAAACTAAATAACGCAAAATCCGAATCAAAACTATTTTTTTTGCCGGTGTACATGTCTATTCGGGAGCTCCCCAATGCAATTCGGTAATTCGGATCCTGAATGCCATTCAGGTCTAGGAGATTCAGCTTTAGTATTAAAGGAGAACTATGAGGTGAGTGATTTTCACTCATCCTCATAGACGATATACTGAGCTTCGGGTGATGGGAGGACACTAGTTTGTGTCCTCCCGTGACCCTTAGGAGAACTATGGGGAAAAGCCCTGACCCCATAGTTCTCCTTTGATATCTGTATATGGTTTTCTGTGGTATTCACATAGAATATTCATAAACTCATCCGAAACAAATGAAATTCGGTTTTCGTCCGAATCCCGAACCGAATTGAATTTCGGATGCGAATCCCGAAATATCGGAACCGAACCGAATTTTTCCGCAGCTTAGATGTCTATTTATAAGTTTATAACAGTTTACTGCTTTCTATAAGATCATTGTCTGGCAGTATATTTTGATAGTAAAATATATTTTTGTCTGTTAGTTATTCAGGTCTGGGGTACGACTTCTGCAGAGTTTCTGATTACACAGTTATACCGCTAAGCTGCAGAGAGGCTTGTGAACACCAACCAAGCCAAGCCAACTGGAGGCTGTTAAACTGCAAAGTCCAAAATCCGCTGGGATTTAATGAAAGTGTAACAAGGATCCCTGTGTGATTTGGGTGTCTCGTCTGCTTTCTAGTCATCACATGAAATAAGACATTAAAATGTGAATATACCGATGGATGAGAACATTCCTTTGAACAGGGCGATATTGCTGGACTGAAATCCCACCGGCCCTGGAGAAGAAAATAATGATATAGATAATTAATCATTTGTATGATACTTTTTGGCACAGGGATATACTGTACAGTAACATAGCTGCAGACATGTCACCTGACCAGGGCAATGAGATATTGTTGATGGACATGATGGGGCCGCTTTTGATGAAAGCTGTTATTATTATTGTACAGGATTTATATAGCGCCAGCAGTTTGTGCAGCGCTTTACAATATAAGGAAGACAAGATGTAAGGAGAGCCCTGCCCCTGAGGGCTTACAATCTAAAAGGGGAGGGGCCGGTGATACATGAGAAGGTAGCTGTGTGGGGATGAATTGTTTGAGAACGTGATGGTTCAGTGGTCAGGTTGAGGTGGGATAGGCTTCCCTGAAGAGATGAGTCTTTAGGGAACGCCTAAAGGCAGTCAGAGTGGAAGATAGACGGACAGGTTGGGGTAAAGGGTTCGAGAGGATGGAAGAGACTCTAGAGAAGCCCCAGAGGAGAGCATGGGAGGAGATGACGAGGGAGCTGGAAAGCAGGAGGTCTTTGGAAGAGCGGAGCCGACGGTTAGGGTGATACTTTGAGACAAGGTTGGAGATATAGCCGGGGGCAGAGTTGTGGATGGCTTTGTAAGTCGTTGTTAATATTTTTAATTTTATGCTTTGGGCTATTGGAAGCCAGTGCAGGGATTGGCAGAGGGGGGTGCAGACACTGGGCGGTTGGTGAGGTGAATGAGTCTAGCAGCTGCATTTAAGATAGGCTGAAGGGGGGAGGAGCCTATGTAGTGGTAGCCCAATAAGGAGGGAGTTGCAATAGTTAAGACGAGAGATAACAAGGGAGTGGATGAGTAGGTTTGCGGTTTCTTTGGTGAGGAAGGGGCGTATTTTGGAGATGTTAGGAAGGTGAAGGCGGCAGGATTTGGATAGGGATTGGATGTGGGGAAGAAAGGTGAGGTCCGAGTCAAGGATGACTCCTAGCACCTTAGCATATGGGGGGAGGGTTGGATAGTTGTGTTAACAACCTCAATGGAAAAGTTGGGGGAAGGTGCATGGGAGGGGGCAAATATCATGAGCTCAGTTTTTGAAAGATTGAGTTTTAAGAAGTGTTGTGACATCCAGACGGACATGTCAGTTAGTAGATTAGTGACACGCAAGGACACAGAGGGGGTGAGTTGTGGAGTGGAGAGATATATTTGAGTGTCATCGGCATAGAGATAGTATTGGAAGTCATAAGCGGGTATTAACTGACCAAGGGAGGAGGTGTAGATAGAGAAGAGAAGGGGTCCAAGGACAGAACCTTGGGGGACTCCTACATAAAGAAAAAGAGGAGGGGTTAGATTTGTAGGTGTCACTAAAGGAGCGCATAGATAAGTAGGAGGAGAACCACAAGAGAGCAGAATCTAGTAGGCCAAGCGAGTGGAGGAGCATGTGGTCAACAGTGTCAAAAACAGCAGAAAAGTCCAATAGCAAGAGTAAGGAGTAGTGGCCGTTGTTTTTAGCAGTTAGTAAGTCATTAGTGAGTTTTACGAGGGAGGTTTCAGTGGAGTGTATGGGGCGAAAGCCGGACTGACAAGGGGTCGAGAAGGTTATCAGCGAGGTATCGGCTCAGGCGGCCGTAGATAAGGTGTTCTTGGAGTTTGGAGGTGAATGGGAGTAAGGAGATTGGTCTGAGATGGTTGAGGTTGGTAGGGTCCAGTGATGTTTTTTTGGGTATTAAGAAAAGATCTTCTGATCTATCACATCCTCTTCTCTTTGGGGAAAGCTTTCCACAAGATTCTGGAGGGTGTCTGTGGGAATCGTGGCCCATTGAGGCAAAATAACATTTGTGAGGTCAGGTACTGTTGTTGGATGAGAAGACCTAGCTCTCAATTGGCCTTCCAATTCATCCCAAAAGGTGTTCCAGTAGGGTTGAGGGTTGTGTAGGACACTTGAGTTCCTCCCCACCAAACTCATCTTGCCATGTCTTTATGGAGCTGGCTTTGTACACAGGGGACAGTCATGCTGCCACAGGAAATGTTCTTCGCCAAACTTACATAGTTAGTTCTTCAATGTCTATTGAGTTCAACCAACAGAAAACAAATTAAATTAAAAACCTGCATACACAGAACATTAAACCCATACTTGATTCAGAGGAAACCAATAAAACCCTTATAAAGCAGTGTCTCTCTCCAAAGAGGACAAAAGTTTCCTTCTGATCCCCTAAAGCAATTGCATACTTCCTGGATCAGCAATCTATGGTGTTATTTTAATATTGTTATTTTTTTTTATAACAAACTACAGCACTGTAAGTTACCATCTCCCATCAAAGATACAGAAAAGAAGCCTTTCCATATGCAAAGATAAAACCTCTTTCCTACAGATGCAGAGGGTGGAAGGGTGCCCCTTTGTCATTAGCAAAAACCTCAAAGTGTTTAGCTTTATAAAAATTTCACTGAATATACTGAATGACCAGGTTGGATTTTTTCTCCTCAGATGGCACATTGGGTATATTCCAAGATGACAATGCCAGAATTCATCGGGCTCAGATTGTGAAAGATTGGTTCAGGGGGCATGAGACATCATTGTCACACATGGATTGGCCACCACAGAGTCCGGACCTTAACCCCATTGAGAATGTTAGGGATGTGCTGGAGAAGACTTTACACAGTCATCACTCACTGCTCCCATCATCACTACATGATCTTGGTGAAACATGAATACAACTCTGGATGGAAATAAATGTTGTGACATTGTATAAGATATCGAAAGAATGTCACTGCGATAGTAATCCAAGCTAAAGGTGGTCCAATGAAGTATTAGAGAGTGTGACTTTTTCGGGGGCCAGGCCAGGTGGTGACAATTTTCGGCTGATTGTTTTGTTGTTCGAGCTTTACATGTACATTGGTCCCTTGTTCTGAACACTCGGCGCTGTTGGTTCTGGTAATATCTTTATTGATGTTAATTGAATCCTATTTGGATAAAAGTACCATGAGTTAAAAAAAAAAAAGTAGTGGTGGTCTTATGTCATCCATCTGAGTGAATTTAGCCTCTTTTTATCCTCTTTTTATCCCCGGTCTCTTCAAACAAAAATGTATTCAGCACTGGCCGTGCCTTTACATTTTGTCCCCAATGGCTTGAATGGGCTGTTTATGGAGACTTGCTATACAGCACCGTTCTTTTGGGACACAATGCACAGGAGTGGAAAAGCAGTGAAGACATTTTTACCTTTCGGAATGTGAACAAGGCTGGAGTCCACAGCTCTGGAACTAAGGTGAGTGAGCAGCAGCGAAGGGGGGTTGATGGTGGGGAGGGGTAATGTAATTTAGCTAAGGGAAGGTAGGTATATGGTTCAGTGAAAGTTAGTTTAGAGGTCCAGCTGTCCTTTAAAGCAACCCTCTCTGTTGCACGTTCACATTTGACATTGTGTAAACAGTGAACAAATTTTCTCCTGGTGGTCTCCGGCATCCAACAATCCCCCCCTCCCCCTCCCGGGTGTAGCCATCTTACCGTTCACATGACATAGAGAAGATGAAGTCAGGCTGTCAGTCAGTCACAGCCCACATATGAAAGCCACCATTGCCCTTCCTGTCACAGTCATATGTCACCTGTCTCTCCAAAAGTCAGTGGTCAGGGGATGGGTTGGAGATGGAGAAGAGGGCTTGGCTGTTGACTTTTACAAAAAATTGGAGTTTGGGGAATGAAAAAGTCAAGTTGATTGATTTAGAGTTGCTTTAAATAAAAGAAACGCTTGTCTTTTAATGGTTGACTTACACTCATGAACCGCAAAAAAGTTTCCAATTCCATGTCCCGTTCCATGTCCATAATTCAGTCCTACCTCCCATAGGGCTTGCCTGGCAAACACTTCTATGACTCTCCCTGCCGGAAACATGAAATAACTGTTAGAATCCAAACATGCATAAACATGATCTATCGGTTATAAAAATGAGGTTTGTGCTTCAGTTGTGGGTCACATGACCCAAGACAGGTCTATGTTAAGCATGCTGATATCAGCAGTCTTCTTACACATTGACTGAAGGCTATGCTGAGGTCAGCAGTCCCGTACGATTCGGCTGTGGCTTCAAGTCATGTGATCTAGGACTGGAGCATCACAGAACTTGTTCATTATTGCTAAATGAAAACAATGTTTAGAGTTGGATCCTCATGTGAACATGAAATCCAAATGACACTGCGCTCAAGTGAATGATCTATATAAAATGTTACATAGTTACATAGTATTTGAGGTTGAATAAAGACATTAGTCCATCAAGTCCAACCTATAGGATGATACAGATCTGACAAGTTTTTTAGATTTCATTGAGCTAATTTGTGTGTATTCCATACAAATTGAACACAGCAGCTGGGTGTATCACTATCACCATAGTGCAGGTCCACTTGCACACACCTCATGTGAACATACCTGATGTTTGTTGTGGAAATACAAGTCTACTCAGTTCAATATTCCCCATCAGGACCCGAGTGTAAGCTTCCTAGAAGATACAATAAAGCCAATAAACTCAACAAAACAAGCATCACGGTTTCTTCATTCCTGTACCTGAAGGGGTTGCATGTCCCATCGAGCAGTAACTAGTATAATATCAAGGAAACAATTAGGAACGTTCATAAAAAAAAATAGAAACTGGCATCTGAAAGGGTTACAGTTGGGGGCACAGATACTTTCTACCCCCACTGTTTCCTAAACTGTGACCCATTCATACACTGCCAGTCCAAAAAAAAAAGTCACACACTCTAATATTTCATTGGCCCACGTTTAGCATTGATTACGGCACACATTCGTCGTGGCATAATATCCATAAGCTTATACAATGTCACAACATTTATTCCCATCCAGAGTTGCATTAATTCTTCACCAAGATCTTGTAGTGATGATGGGAGAGTCGGAGCGCTGCGTAAAGTCTTCTCCAGCACATCCCAAAGATTCCCAAGGGGGTTAAGGTCTGGACTCTGTGGTGGCCAATCCATGTGTGACAATGATGTCTCATGCTCCCTGAACCACTCTATCACAACCTGAGCCTGCTGAATCCTGGTCATTATTTTAAGACTGCTCTCAGAAGATCCAAACAGTGTCTTACATCTATGTCTTGACTATTGCAACTTCCTCCTCATTGGCCTTCCACTACACAGGCTCCTCCCCCTTCAGTCTATCATGAATGCAGCTGCTAGACTTATCCACCTGACCAACCGCTCAGTGTCTGTAACCTCCCTCTGCCAATCCCTCCACTGGCTACCAATAGCCCAAAGGATAAAATTCAAAATATTAACAATCACTTACAAAGCCGTCCACAACTCTGCCCCCGGCTATATCTCCAACCTTGTTTCAAAGTATCACTCTAACCGTCCCCTCTGCTCTTCGAAAGACCTCCTGCTTTCCAGCACTTTCGTCAACTCCTCCCATGCTAGCCTCCAGGACTTCGCTAGAGTCTCTCCCATCCTCTGGAACTCTTTACCCCAACCTGTCCGTCTGTCTCCCACCTTGACTGCCTTTAGGCGATCCCTAAAGACTCATCTCTCCAGGGAAGCCTATCCCACCTCAACCTAACCACTCAACCATCACATTCTCAAACAATTCATCCCCACACAGCTACCTCCTCATGTATCACTTCCCCCTCCCTTTTAGATTGTAAGCCCTCAGGGGCAGGGCCCTCCTTACCATCTTGTATT